TTTAAATGTGAGGAGCGCTTAGAAGAGCTAATTAAGCAGCCAAGAGAAGATAGAATAGGAAGCTTACGGCGACACCTGCATGTGTACAAAATCAATATATGTTCTTTGTGTCACTTCCAGTCTGGGCACACATCTCCTCTGGATTCATCACTCCGGGGTCCTCGGTGAGGATGCATAAGTTATACTACAGAGATGCCCCTTTGGAGGTGTTGGAGGAATAAGACATGCCAACACATATTATAACGAAGGAGGAAGGATGGGGGTAATGTGAAAATGTTGTTGATGTGCCTTCATGGTAATAACAATCCTAGCATCCCCTGTGTCCCTCGTTAGCTGACCTTGCTGTGAAGCTGCTTGTTATAATTACCAAGATTAAATATTATGCTCCAATTAAAACAGACCACCTGGGGAACGGAAGAAGAATCTTCACACCAATTCACATCAGAAAAAAAAGCCCATTATAGCTTTATGCCTCCAGCTGAGCCACCAAAAAGGGGCGCTACCCTGCCACTATGCAGAGCTGCACTCACATCTAAAAGTGGCTGTAAACCTCAGACATGAAATATGAGGAAAGCATATCCCTCTATATCAGTGGTTCTCAACCTTCCTAATGCCGTGACCCTTTAATACAGTTCCTCATGTTGTGGTGACCCCCAACCATAAAATTATTTACCCAGTAATTATAATTCATGAGTGTCGTTTTACCTCCAATACTGCTGCTTTCAACACAGTAGCTGCTTTTAACAGAGTAGCTGCTTTCAACACAGCAGCTGCTTTCTACACAGTAGCTGCTCTTTACACATCAGAAATATGTGTTTTCTGGTGGTCTTAGGGGACCCCTGTGAAAGGGTCGTTTGACCCCCAAAGGGGTCGCGACCCACAGGTTGAGAACCACTGTTCTATATTGTGTACTTCTCTCAAATAAGAACACTAAATGTTATTTCTGTCTGCTGCTTTGTTTCTCTGCTATCAGCATGAATCACTTCTGACAAGTTTTCCAGACACCAAGTGAATAAATGGTGACACGGGAGGGAGTTCCAGCTGATTGACAGCTTCAGCTCTGTTCCTGTGCGGTGTGTGAAGGGCGGGGGGTCTCTTCCTTCCAATCAGCTCTCAAAGCTCTCCTCACTGAGATCTGCAGAATGTAATTTTAGCTCTCTGCCCTCATTTTTCTGACAGCTCAGTCAAGGTGTATAAATTCTGCACTCTGAATGGCTATTAGAGAAGACTGCAGATAAACAGGTAAAACCTATGTATGAGGATTTGTTTAATCTCTGTGTATTAGAGGAGGCCAGTCACTTCACTGGGTATATATGTAAGGGCTTACAACCACATTAAGGCAAGGCAGAGACCAAATAGCAACCTTAGCACATCAAATCTCACCTGATCTCATCTTAGTACCATATGTAGCATATCAAGGATGCACAGAGCAGGAACATTCCCCAAGGGTCAATTCTGTGTATTGATTTGGTGTGATGTCTAAACTGCTCATGGCATCCAGTTTGAGACCAAAGATGCTCATATATACGTGGAATACAAACAGGGAAAGATTTAGACATTCTGTGATAATAATCAGCCAGTCTGGGGGCGGCTCACGCTGGTGTCCAGTTAGAAAACATGACCTAAAAGATGGAATTGTTTGGTTCCTTGCACACAGGATGCTGACCCGCTCAATCTAAATGCAAGCGACTTTCCCCTGTCAAGGCAGCACTGTTGCAGTGTAGAGCCTTCTATACACATGAACAGCTGTGTGCTGCTGTACTCAGGTATACAGCGGTGCTAGGATAAACACAAGTACAACGTACAGGCGAATACAAAAATAGAACGCTTTCTGCTTTACATACACCCATATGCTGCCTGTGTGCAAAGATCCTTAGGGTGCTGCACTGAAAAATGTATTCAAATTCACTTTGTATGTATTCAGTCACTTCTATGGTCTCTGAACTGATGTCTGTCAGATTTGGATATCATGAAGGTAACTAAATCCACTGCACTGGCCATTTCCCGATGCAGCTTTATCTCAATCTCAATTTAGTGTGTTGTTGTTGGACTACGGTTACCAGATTTTCAGAATGAAACCCAAGAACATCTACTGTGCACACCTGCATTTAAACCCACAAAACCACACCCCAATTTGTAGCCACCCTAAAAATAATGCCCCATTTTTAACATGCTTTGCAACAGCTGAGCTGCATGAACATTAGAAATAATGCAGCGCACTTGGTGCGTGGTGGTGAATGGTCATATATATGGTGCAAAGATCAGTAGGGTATAAGGTACAGAGTGCAGAGGTCAGGAGGGGAAAACACAGATTGCAGAGGTCAGGAGGGTATAAAGTACAGTGTGCAGGGGTCAGAAGTTTGTAATGTAGAGTGCAGAGGTCAGGAGGGTGTAACACACACAGCGCAGAGATCAGAGAGTATAATGCACAAAGAACAGAGATCAGGAGGGTGTAACACACACAGGACAGAGGTCACAAGGGTATAATGCGCAGAGAACAGAGGTCAGGAGGGTGTAACACACACAGGACAGAGGACACAAGGGTACAATGCACAGAAAGCAGAGATCATGAGGGTGTAACACACACAGGACAGAGGTCACAAGGGTATAATGCACAGAGAGCAGAGATTAGGAGGGTGTAACACACACGGGACAGAGGTCACAAGGGTATAATGCACAGAAAGCAGAGATCAGGAGGGTGTAACACACACGGGACAGAGGACACAAGGGTATAATGCACAGAGTGCAGAGATCAGGAGGGTGTAACACACACAGGACAGAGGACACAAGGGTATAATGCACAGAGAGCAGAGATCAGGAGGGTGTAACACACACAGGACAGAGGACACAAGGGTATAATGCACAGAGATCAGGAGGGTGTAACACACACAGGACAGAGATCACAAGGGTATAATGCACAGAGCGCAGAGATCAGGAGGGTGTAACACACACAGGACAGAGGACACAAAGGTATAATGCACAGAGAGCAAAGATCAGGAGGGTGTAACACACACAGGACAGAGGTCACAAGGGTACAATGCACAGAGAGCAGAGATCAGGAGGGTGTAACACACACAGTATAATGCACAGAGAGCAGAGATCAGGAGGGTGTAACACACACGGGACAGAGGACACAAGGGTATAATGCACAGAGAGCAAAGATCAGGAGGGTGTAACACACACAGGACAGAGGTCACAAGGGTATAATGCACAGAGAGCAGAGATCAGGAGGGTGTAACACACACGGGACAGAGGACACAAGGGTATAATGCACAGTGAGCAGAGATCAGGAGGGTGTAACACACACGGGACAGAGGACACAAGGGTATAATGCACAGAGAGCAGAGATCAGGAGGGTGTGTAATGCAGGGTGAAGAGTTCAAGAGGCAAAAAACACACAGATTGCAGAGGTCAAAATGAATTAAAGTACAGAATTCATAGGGGTCAAGCTTTCATAACACACAGACTGCAATGGTCAGAATCAAGTAATCCATACAGTGCAAAGTAATATGTGCAGCAGCAGCAGCATAGTAGTTTTAAGATATTCTACCTTGCCCTCTGCATCTGGTCCAAGTGAAAGTCTGGCATCCATCCCTCCTCCTTTGCTTGGGCTTTTTAATGAATGCAAGCATCTCAAGGTATTCTGCCTGGCCATTGCTGTGCACTGTAAACATTGAGTGGTGGCTCATCAGTCCCCAGCATCCCGGCATCCCACGGTAAGCGCACAGCCAAGACACCCACTCAGTAATCACCCTATGCAATGGTCAATCAAGTTTCCAAAGTGCACAGGGCAATTGCTGAGTGGCCGCCTATGCTGTGCATTTGATGCGGGCTGCCAGGATACAGAGGGTGATGGACAATGGCAGGATGCTTGTTTCAGGGGGACAGATCACTTGAAATGAGGATGGACACTGAGAAATGGAGTCAATGACATTCTTAGGCTGGGCTGTAACCACATTTCACATAGCACCAGATACTCTTAAGTTGCTTGCTGTACTTTTGGCCTGCCATCATAAGAAACAATCACCTGTCACAATTGATACTCTCACACACTGGGGCTTATTTACTAAAGCTCGAGAGTGCAAAATCAGGTGCACTTCTGCATAGAAACCAATCAGCTTCCAGGTTTTATTGCCAAAGCATAACTGAACAAGTTGAGGTCAGAAGCTGATTGGCTACCATGCACAGTTGCACCAGATTCTGAGTGAACCAGCTTTAGTAAATAAACCCCACTGTATAAAATAAATAAATATAATGGCGCCTAGGGAAAAAAATGTAGGTCATTAACTGATATACCAGCTGCAAAATCCACCATAAGATAAATACAGTGTAAAAACAACACAAAAAAAATTTGCGCTAGTAAATAAATATACAATTATACCTGTGAACAAAAAAATATATAAATACTATCAAAGTGAATAATAAAAATAAAAAGTGTCCAAAAAAAGTCCAAATTGGGATGTGTGATAAAAATCTGAATAAAAAGTGCACCAAATTGTGACAGTCCACCACCACAAGCACTAAATAAACTCACCAGAGCTATAAAAAACAGAAGCATATGTTGCTCTGGGGGTGATGGTATAAACGGAGTAATGAACCATTCATGGATGTCTCTTCAAGGAGTAATATTCTGCAGAACCCAGCTGACCAATTTCAATGAGGCAATGCTTTATACAAAACCACTGAGGAAATCCACTTCTCCAAGGGATCACTTTAATCGTATCCGAAAGGGTAATACCAGACATCAAAGAGGTATCCCAGCCGACACCAGCATTAACAGCATATAGGAATCACAATACAACGAACCCAGCCACTCGGCACATGCGCAGTAGTTCGCTGGGAAACGTAATGATGTCACATCAATCAAGCCCCGCCCCACGCGTTTCGTCATCGACGTCCTCACGAACCCCACTGTGCCTACATACACTAACTGAAGAAACAATATGATACAATGTCAGAGACTTGGGAATTACCACACTCACTTTTCATGCTGTACTTACATTTCTCGTGATAGTGCTTCCACGTCACAGCAGGTTCAGGTCTGCCAGTAGCCAAACATCGCAGAGTCACTGTGCTGCCCTCATTCACTGTAATGTCTGAAGAGATATTCAAGATTTTTGGGGAAACTGTTGGAAAAAAGCAGAGGGAAGGGGATGAAAGAAGAGAAGTAAGATTATTTTATATGACTGCAATTCAGAGACTTATATGTGCCTTTATTCTGGGCAAATAGTGTAGCTGAAATCCCTAATACATTGTCTTCATTGTTTCAGCCTTTACACCATCAGGTAATTCATACAACACATCAGGAAAGAAAAAAAAGGAAAAGTATGTTACAATCAAAGAGAAGCCAATTTCACTTTTAATTGATAGAAAAATGATTTGAATCACACTGGGTCCTATGGACAATAACATGCTTTGCCGAATTGCTGTAGAGAAGATATGGGAATGTCCTATGTTTCCCAAAGAAATGTGTTTTAATTTCAACCTTTTTCTGTGCACGTTATTAAAGGAAACGCTTCTCGCACTCTGATCTTTCTCCTACTGATTGTGGAACAATGCAAAAAGCAGTAGACTGTGGCAATAAACAGTTCAAATTACTGAATATCAGTACTTAGATGAGTAATGACTGGTTGGTACATGGATTTTTTTGCAGAGATTTAGTAATTCTGAGTACTGAGACTGTGAGGTCAAACACTGTACTCTTGAATACAGCACTGGTTTTAGACAGAGCAATGCACAGCACAATTTTCAAAGTTATGAGGATCCCAGTGAATATGATTGTTTATGATTTAATAACTGCTTTATAAGGAAAATGAGTTTTCAGCATCTCACTGTGAAGTAATCGGTATTACATATAGCATCAATTATGGGGTCACAGCTTCCAGATCTAGGCTTTCAGCTGATATTACAATCTTTCAGTGTTTGATCTAAATTGTAATCTGGTTTGTATCATCATATTTCTCTGTACTTGGCACAAATGGGAGCTGGGCCTTCTATGTGAAGATTATAAACAATTAAATTTAATACAAGATAATTAGAGACAATTTAGGAACAAATTTAGAAATCTGCTCTAATTTTTTATAAAGGGTTTATGGACAGGCCGGAGACATATTTGAGAGTATCTGGAGAAAGACATATTGAGGGAGACTTACTTCAACTGGGGCACACACATTCTGATGCAGCTCTGCAAAGAAACCAATCAGCTTCCAGGTTGTATTGCCAAAGCTTAATTTAACAAGCTGAAGTTAGAAACTGATTAGCTACCATGCACAGCTGCACCAGATTCTGTGTGCCCCAGTTTTAGTAAATCTGTCCCATTACGATACCTTCAAAGATTGACTGACAGCAGCCTACCAAGATTACATGATCTAGAAGACCAGAAGTGACTGAGTGAGATCTACAAGGGTTACTAGAACTAGAATACATTACTGGATCTAAAAGAAGTCCGGAGGTGAATGGGTGTGATCTAAAAGGGTTACTGGATCTAGAAGAAGACCAGCAATAACTGAGTATGATCTACAGGGGTTACTGAATTCAGAGGAAGTCCAGCAGTGATTTAGCGGTTTCTTCAAGGGTTACTAGGTCCTACAGAATCTAAAAGAAGAACAGCAGTGTTTGTGTGGGATTTGCAAGGGTTACTGGATCCTGAGAAAGACCAGTGGAATCTTCCAGGGTTCTTGAATCTATAAGAAGACGAACAGTGACTAAGTGGGATCTACAAGTGTTACAGATATAAAGGAAGACCAGTAGGGACTGAGTGGCATCTCCAAAGGTCATCAGTCCAACCAGCAGTCACTGAATACGCTAAATAGAAATTACAACTGTTACTGGATCTAAAGTAAGACCAACAGTGATAATTTATAAGGATTACTCTATGAAGAGGAAGACCATCAGGATCAAAGAGTGTTGCTGGATCCAGAGGAAGACTATGCTGGCTAGTCAGGAGTCAGTCATTAGATTCCCCCCCTAACCACTGTTTGTGGCCTTCAGTGGTAGGATCTCATATGATAGTAAAAACAGGGTTATAGTGCACCTTTTGGTTGTCAGTACTAGAGGGAAGATTCCCCTGTATCTTGTAGTATGAAGGATGGATTATCCATGAGTATGTATTTTCTTATAATCAGTATATTCCTTTCTTTTAGCAATGATACTAATCTGATGAAGCTGAGCTCTGTAGCCAATCAGCTTCTAACTTTAGCTTGTCCCATTAAGCTATGGCTATAAAACCTGGAAGCTGATTAGTCTCCATGCAGAGCTGCACCAGATTTGTGCACTCTCCAGTTTTAGTGAATAGCCCCCCTTTGTGACCTTGTGCCAGGACTTTTGCAGTGAAGTTGGCAGTTGGCCTTTTATATTTATAGCATGACATGGCTGCTGTTAAAGTAAGTGCTCAGATAATGATATATTTATCTTTATGAAGCTATGGCATCATTAGTATTTACTAAATTACTGTGTAATACATAGGCTGGATAAAACAAGTGGTGCAATTGAATATTTTCACAAAGTCACATAAAACACCATCATTTGTAACTATGATAGAGAGCTGCATTTTGGAACGCTGGATATTATCATATCTGTAAACACATCATAAGGAAAAGCAAACAATTTATCAAGCAGCTGCATTGTCTTCCTTCGAGGATTGGGTGACATCTTCACGTTGAATTGTAAAGTTTCAATTGAAAAAAGACAATATAAGGCTTAAGTGAAGCATAGGAGGTTGGCCAACAGTAGTCTATTATATGTTCTGAATATTCTCCAAACAGATCCACTCAATGGATTTTATGTCATTTAACAAGGTTCTAGCACAGGGAAATTGAACAGGAATTTTTTAGCAAATTGTCATTACTAAAAATTTAAAGAATAAAACAACACTGAGACTGACGTGGCAGACAATTGTCATCGCTTCATGTTTGTGCACACTTCTTGCGGTGAAAATGTACACCAGGGATTGATTTATTATTTAGCTCCCAACACTTGGGGCAGATTTGAAAATGAAGCAAGGATTTCAATTAATTGCTCTAGGCAGCAAAAATGTTCCTGTTAGCACACTTTTTCTACATCTGCCCCTTTCCATTTTCATGTAAAATTTTAGCCAGTTCCAGAACATTATCTGCAGATGGTGCCCTGAAAATGTAGGTCCTGTTTAATGGGAACTCGCACGATGACTCTTCATGTGGTAATTCAGATCTAATTCCATAGTGAATGGCCAGCTACAACTTATCATTATACTGTAGGTACATGGGGCTGAAAACTCCAGTCTGTGCAAGAGACATACAGGGAAAGAGGGGGTTACAGTTACAAGGTTACAATTTCGGGATTGGTGTGACCCTTCAAAGATCCTGTATTTATATTGTTCTCTCAAAACGTACTATGCAGGGTAATATTTCACAATCCATTCACAGGATAATCATAGTTGTCCTCATTCCTTTCTGCACATAATGTGCACATTACACAGCAGACAATGGTTGCTATGGTCAACATCACTGTTTTCAGAAGTGTGGAATATCGTGCGGCAGGAATCAGGCACCTGGCTTCTCCATTGACATTTCATTCATCAAATAATATTAAAAATCTGTAGTAATGATCAGCTAAGAAGAAAATACATGCTGCTGCCAGAGCTCTACAAAAAGTATTACCAATTAATCTAAGCAATTTTTACTAAGCAAACTGTACATTAAAATGCTATTAAAAGCATAAGGCCTCCTAATAACAGCACTCTTGTCACACAGAATTACATTCTAGATGCCTCGAAATATTAACTGAGCAGTACAAACTAACTATATCTCTGTCAGCTAATATCAGCCAGTTCCTAGCTTGGAGTCACATTGCAGCGTCATTTGGCCTGGCTGTGGGAATCTCAGGACAGGCTCCACTTCACAATCCTCAGCAGGTTCCACATTTCTTGGTCCTTATGTACCTACATCACAGTGCTCAATCTGTTCCTATGGGTCACAGAAGAAAATCCACCATACTAATCAAAGCACTGATAGGGATAGAGGAGGAATGAGGGACAGGGGTGGAACTACGTTTAGAGGAAGAATGAGAATCAGGGAGGAGCAGGGGAGGGACTGGGATAGGCAAGGATTAGGGACAGAGGAGGAATAAAGGGCAGGGGAGGAACAGGGGACAGAGAAGGAATGAGAGGTTGGGGAAAGACTGGGGACAAAGGAGGAATGAGGGGTTGGAGAGGGACTGGGGACAAAGGAGGAATGAGGGGCATGGGAGGGACAGGGGACAAATGAGGGATTTGGGGCACAGGAGGGACTGGGGACAGAGGAGGAATGAGGGGCAGGGGAGGGACTGGGGGCAGGGGAGGAATGAATGGCATGGGAAGGACTGGGGACAAAGAAGGAATGAGGGACAGGAGAAGAACTGGAACAGAAGAGGGATAGGGTAAAGAGAAGGGGGAATGGACTAAGAAGAGATGGAGGAGAGAGGATAAATGGGGGACAAAGAAGAAATGGGACAGAAGAGGCATACAGGAGAAATGGGGACAGATGAACAATGGAGAACAGAGGATAAATAGAGACATGGAAGGAATGGTAAATGGAGGGACAGAAGAGAGAGAAGGCACAGAGAAATTTGGGAGACAGAAGATTAATGAAGAACAGAGAAGAGAGAAGAAAGGGGTTAGTGGTGGGATGGGCAGAGATAGGGGGACAGAAAAGTCATGGGGAGAGATGGCCAATAGAGGAGGGATGGGGGACAGAGAGGGGATGAAGACAGAACAGAGATTTGGGACACACTGTAAGAGACGGTCAGAGACTGAAGATATACTGCAGGAGATTATCCATACTGGGGACATACTACAGGAGATGGTCAGAGATTCAGGACATACTACAGGAGACAGCCATAAACTGGGGACATACTACAGGAGAAGATCTGAGACTGAGTACATAATACAGAGACTGGGGATATACTGCAGGAGAAGGTCATAGGTTATGTCTTCCCTGGGTACTTCTGCCATGTGCTTGCCATGTGAAGGCCCCAGCTGGGCAGCTGGAGGGCCTGGAGCTACTGAAAGTGATATTAAAAGGAAGTTAAATAAACAAACATGTCATACTTACCTGCTCTGTGCAATGGTTTTGCAGCGATCCTCCTCTTCTCAGGTCCCCTCTAGCACACC